TCGACCACGTTTAGACGCCCACAAAATTCAGAACGGCTCTCAATACACGATCTTCAGAGAAATGCACAAGGATCATAATCATAACGTGCAACCGGAAACAGAAGACGAAGACGACGATCATCATCATCACCACCACCAGCAGCACCACCACCACCATCATCATCATCACCACCATGATGAAAAAGAACATCGTTGTGATGGTAAACGCCAAAAAATCAGCCACGTTCATCATGATGATGATAGTAATAGTAATAATAATAACAATAATAAAAATGACAACAATATTGATGATGATGATGACCATGATCATCATTATCATCACCACGAGAAAGAAGAAATTAAGAATAACCTTAATGACGACTTTGAGAATGATGGAGATGACGATGAAGTATAACTTTTATTCCACGTCATCATCGTCGTCATCGCCATCCTCATCATCATTATTATTATTATTATTATTATTATTATTATTATTAGTAGTAGTAGTAGTAGTAGTAGTAGTAGTAGTAGTAGTAGTAGTAGTAGTAGTAGTAGCAGTAGTAGTAGTATTGCTACTATTACGTCTGTTTTGGCATCTGTCTTTTGTAATTTTTCACATGTTTGTCTGCATATTTATTATTTATTTGTTTATCTATTTTTTTATTCATTCGTTCGTTTGTTCACTCATTCATTCATTTATTCATTCATTTGTTCGTTCATTCATTTGTTCGTTCATTCATTCATTTGTTCGTTTATTCATTCATTCATCCATTGATTCATTTTTGTTTATTATTTATTTATTATTTTCTGCTGTTTTGTTTATCTCTACTTATTTACAAACACGATTCTATTTTCCCGGATAATTTTTTGATTTTAAATTAAAAAAAAATAATAATTAAAAAATAGAAATTCTACTACAACTACTACTGCTGTTATAATTATAATTAAATTATTAATTGTAATAAGTATTAACTCATTTAAGCGATGAGTTAATTTTAAATTTTGATGTTTGGATTAAGATTTAGGCAAGAATTTTGTACAGTTTAGTCAAGAGTCTTATTGATCATTCATTATTTTTTCATTTTCTTTTATTATTATTATTATTAATATTATTATTATTGTTATTATTATTATTATTATCATGATCATTTTCATTATTACATACAATCACAAACGTAGCCTAGGTACACAATAATTATTTTAAATAAATAAAAATTATAGTTATTTGTTGAATGGTAATATTAAATAAATAATTAATTATATTATCTTTAAAATTCTCAGAATGACGCAACAAAATCCTGCCTAACCGCCCAAGAAATTCTCGATAAGTTTCGATTTCAGAAGACGAAAGGGATCAAAATGTCGCAATTTTTAGAGATGTGCCCGGCTCTAGTCTATCAACTCGATCAAAAGGTTTGCCAGATCGATAGTGATTATACCGGTCGATACATGATGTACTCGAGTACCGATAATGTCACATCTCTGGATAGTTTTCTGAGGAGTCGTAAGTTTTTGGTTGGAGTAGTTTGACTGANAGTGGATATTTAAATTGTGTTTTGGTGAGAAAGAATGTCTATAAATTGCTATTAAATGATAGAGGTGATGTTGTTCGATAAACTGCAATGAAAAAATTATTAATTTACAAATAATTTATTAAAAATTTATAATAATTTAACTTATAATATTGTAATAATATCCGTTATATTTATAATTTTTTCCAAAAAGCATGGGCGGGCTCTTCAATAGCCGTAGGCGTTATAAGTGTGGCTGGCTTTTTAGTAGTAGCGACAATTCCAATCGTCGCCAAGTTAACTATCTTCCACCATCTCATTCAGTTTTTGATTTCGCTAGCCATCGGTACGTTGACTGCCGATGCATTAATGCACCTGCTGCCTCACGTTAGTGCATGGATGAATGAGTGAGTGAATGAATGAGCGAATGGATGAGTGAATGAATTAGGGAATGAATAAGTGAATGAATGGTGGATCATCATCTCATTCAAAAGTATTGCACACACTAAAAGCCCAAACTAAAAAAGTATCATCACCGATACGATATAGCCGATACCAACTCTCCCCATCATATTCACCACCACCATCATCATCATCTACACCACTGCCATCACCATCGTCATCATCATTACCACCCCCCCCAAACAGGCAATGGTCCCACACACACATCAGCACATCTCCCTAAAACGGCGTGGGGGCGTGGCGAACTTGGGGAACACGTCATCTTTCGTGGGGACGAACCTGCCCATCGACGACATAGAGAACAAGCACCCAATGTGGATCGGGGTCACGACATTTGCCGCCATCCTGTTTTTCTTCGTCCTTGAGAGGGTTCTAAAGATGACCTCAGATTTCAAAGAGAAGCGTTTAGTTAGGGAGGAGTTATTCTTTTTATGGAAATGATTTTAAAGATACTACTACTACTACTACTACTACTACTACTACTACTACTACTACTACTACTACTACTACTACTACTACTACTACTACTACTACTGTTACTGCTGCTACTAAAAATAATAACAACAGTAACAATAATAATACTCGATTAAATATTTGAAAATATAATTCAGCAGAGAAACAAAATCTCACACGAAGTCATTGCCATCTCAGCATTGAAGACTCCACCCGTCAACAACAATGACGTCATCGTAGGACAAGAAACGCCATTGGTTGAAGTTCACTCGGGAGGTGGAGCCAGAGTTTATTTATAGATATATTACGTCGTTATAGTGATGGGGTTATTGATCAAACGATAACATCTTATATTAGCTTAATCGCTAGCACTAAAAAATCGCTGTTCTATGTTATTATTATTATTATCATCATCATCGTCATCGTCATCATCATCATCAACAACCACAATGTCATCATCATTATCATTATTACCAACAACAACAACAATATTACTCTTATTGTTAATAACATTAAAACAACATTAAAACTCAGATTCAGTCAGTCAACATCATCAACAACAACAACAGCAACAACAACTTCATCATCATAACGAACAACATCATTCTCATCATCATCACCATCACCACGACGTACCAACTTCGATAACGTCTGCCGCTTGGATGGTGGTCATGGGTGATGGCTTGCATAATTTCTCCGACGGTCTAGCCATTGGTTATTATGATTATTATTACTATTATTGTTATTATTGTTATTATTATTGCTGTTATTATTATTATTAATCTTACTACCACTGCTATTGTCTTTGTTATTGGATGAAATGATCTAAGTGAAATGATGAAGTGAGCCGCAGATTTGGACAGGAAATATTAATATTCATGAAGGAACTCTTGCCACTCACTCGCGAGATTTTTTTTAACCATTCGTTGCGTAAATGCTAATGAGGTTAAAACGACACGCCACCGACCGACCACTGATGACGTCAAACGTGAAGAAGTTGCGGCTGAGTTATTGGATTCCTAAGAGGTCTACGAACTGCTTAGCGATAATGTAGAGCCAGAGAGTGGAAATATATTCTGATAACTCAGATGACGATGTAGATAGTGAGGTCGACCATATGACCCATACAGTAAGATGCCTGATTAAGTTCAGTTAACAATTGGGACATTTGTAATTAAATACAGATACTCAAAATTCTAAATCAACCGAAAAATTGTCTCAAGGGAAGTTTTTACCTCCAATTTTCAAGGAAAGGATTGAGGCCAATGATTGTTTAAATTACTCAAATAAGTATTTCAAATTGAATAAATTATGCTAATCAGGTGCCTCGTTCATTAGCGGCCTGTCCGTCGGGCTCAGTACGGCTGTGGCTATCTTCTGCCATGAAATTCCGCACGAATTGGGTTGACATTTTTCTTATTTTTCTTCTTCTTCTTCATTTTATTATTATTATTATTATTATTATTATTAGTAGTAGTAGTAGTAGTAGTAGTAGTAGTAGTAGTAGTAGTAGTATTTCGTGGTTGTGTTAGTGTTGTTGATGTTAACGGCATTATTATTTTTTTCTACTTTTTATTTTTTTTTATTATTTTTACGTATTTGTATGAATTTTTTGAAACAGTTGAATAAAAATGAATGAATAATTAAAATAGAATATTCATAATTTAATTTTATATATTTTAAATAAATAAAATGACAAGTCACAAAAGATTGAAAAATTAATGACAAGCAAGGAATAATTTTTAACCGGATCAGGTGATTTCGCAGTTTTATTGAAATCCGGAATGACGATGAAGCAGGCGTTATTTTGCAACTTCCTGTCATCAGTTCTTTGTTTCTTGGGGATGATCTGTGGAGTCCTAATCGGAAATCAGCCGTCCGTCACCCTCTGGATCTATGGTGTCACGGCCGGGATTTTCATTTATATAGCGCTCGTTGATATGGTTGGTATTTTTTGGTTTCAGTCGTTAAGTTTTATAAATCTGTGTGAAGATTTGCATCAATATTGAATAACTTTACAAATTTTATATCTGTAATTGCTGTTGAACTCAGACCCGGTTTTAATTGTAAGTCGGTGATGTAGACAGTTTTTAGGGGCGGTTTTTTGTCAAAGGTTTCCTAAAAAATATTTTTTCGTTTTCGACTGAATTCAAAGCAGCCCTAATATAATTTCCTCCCAGAGTTCTTTCAACACTGGTGTGAATCATCAGTCCATGTAAACGATTTCAGTGTAAATCCATCAGGTAGAACTTACTTGGAAAGTAAGGTTGAACCGTCCCAGCTCTTCCATTCAAGTTTACAATGCGGTAATCCCTATAGCTATAGGTAATGCTTTATTAGCAGCCACGCGAACCAATAGTTGAGGGAGAGGGCAAAGTATTAGCTAAACATATTTTATACTGGCTATTTTTGAAAGATTTGAAAAAAAACCCTGCGCGCATATTAATTTTGAAGTTTTCTCTGAAAATTTTTTCCCGCCAAAAGCTTCCACAGGTGACCTCCCAATACGAGATGGAAAGCGCGCCAAACAAACTGCAGCTGACGAACATTACTGTCGACAAAAACACTAAATCAAAATTTTCATTTGGTAAGATGAGAAATTTGAAGCGCTTAATATTACACGTTACCGGTATTCTTATGGGGTTTACTATAATGTTACTCATCGCTTTGTACGAAGACCAAATATCAATAATTTAATTAATTAAAGAGTCTATCAATTAATTAATTAGTCAATTAAATACTTTAAATAAGATTATACTAAATTTAATTAAGCTGATCATAAGATCGATTAAATTGAATATAACAATTATTCTACTATAATTTTTGTTGGTTTGTTTCGTTATGTTTGACGATTTTAAAGTGCTTCTTTGACGCTAAATTTTATTTGTCTTTTTGTTAAATTTTATTAATTTTTTTAGACATTTTGTTTAATTGCTTTGAAAAAAATTCTTTTTTTTCCAGCTAATTATGAACTATTATTATCGTTAGTAGAAGTATTAGTTAATTAGTAGCTGTAGTAGTAGTAGTAGTAGTAGTAGTAGTAGTAGTAGTAGGTAGTAATATTGCTATTGAATTAATCGTTAAAAATCGTTTTAAATTAAAATGAACTTGATGATAAGCTAATGTAACATTTGTTATATATATATAAATATTTATTTATTTATTTACGTATATATTACTTATAACATATATATTTTTATCCATAAAAAATCCAATTCCTAATTGTAAATATATGATACGTTTTATTAATGTATATATAACATATATGTATGTGTATATATATATATATATATATATATATATATATATATATATAATTTGTATAGATTTAAATAAAAATGATTTGACGATGACGATGAATGAATGTTTAATATGTCATACAAATATATTATTACAGGTGATGCAAACAATTTATCAAAATTGATCGTTTCAGTAATTTTTTGAAATTTCGCCTTACTTGTTTTTTATGTATTTCATGATTAAATCTGTCAATCAGCAACGCTAAATCAAATTTTATTTATTCAAATCCATTGAAATTGAACTTTAGACTAAAATAGACCCACTTATGTAGGTGCCCCATACTTCGAATGAGGATGTGTTAAAACAGTCCGGTTATAAAAAGAGGAAATTTCTATAGATAACCAACGGGGGAAGTTGAAGTTTTTTGGTCAAATCATGCGGAAGGAAAGAATGGAAAATCTAACAGCTACTGGAAAGATTACAGGGAAAAGAGTCAAGAACGAATAACATTCGTGAAGTCCTTGTGTCACTGGTTGAATATCACCACGTTTCAACTACTACAAAGGGTTAAAGATCGGATTTTGTGGAAGTCGATGGTCGCCAATTTCCTAAACTGATAAGACACGAGAAATAAGAAAATGTTGGTACATGGACACACTAATATAATTTTTTCCATTATACACAGAAGCAATAGATGCCTTAAAATCGCATTCACTGAATTTTACACGAGACTTTCAAATAGGATGCTTGAATAGTTGAATAGGTAATAACAGGTGATTATATATTACAAGCAGCTGATATAAAATTTGGTCACTTCTTTTTTACAGTAATACAAATTCATGATGTTGATCATTGCAGAAAATGATCATACAAACTTAACAAACTTAATCCAAACTTAACAAACTTAATCCTTATAAGTTTGAATTAATTTGTTTTAATAAATCTAAACACTCTATCACTATTCCTCCTATTATCTTACCTGATTCTAAAACTCTTGATGTCTCTTATAAGTTTCGTAGTCTAGGTTTTATCTTTGATTCTACTATGTCTCTCTCTTCTCAGATTAATAGTGTTGCTAGAAGCTCTTACTTTCATCTACGTAGAATAAAAAAACTTTTGCCTTTTCTTGATGATCCTACTCTTCTCCTTCTTGTTACTTCGTTAGTCTTATCTAGGATTGATTATTGTAACTCGCTCTACTATGGTCTTCCTGACTCTATACTCTATCCTTTAAGTAAAGCTTTTAACTCTGCTGCTCGTCTAGTTGCTCGTGCCCCTTTCTTTTCTCATATATCTCCATATCTTGTTCTCTTGCACTGGCTACATATAAAATATAGAATAATTTTAAAAATTTGCACGTTCATGTATAAGTCTCAATCTAAATTATTTCCTAAGTATTATAAGGTATATTAATTGAACCTAAACGCCCCGGTTTACGATCGTCTTCTTCTTTTCGCTTTTTCTTAACTCGTGTTAAACACTCTTTTGCCAAATCTGCTTTTGCTTTTTCTGGTCCTTTTCTCTGGAATTCTCTACCTAATTCTCTGACTACTTCTCCATCACTTGCAAAGTTCAGCGCGGATCCCAAGACCCATCTGTTTGCAAAATTCATTGAGGAGCGCTGTTGAACATCGCGGAAATAGCTAATTGATTGTTTGATTGAAAAGGCGTAAACATGTTGGTAATTGCAATAATTTAAAAAAAAATGCAATAAATATGTTTAATTAAAATCATGAATATTATATTTATCCATGGTTAAAACATAAAAACATACTGTAATAAATTTTTCAAGTTGAGAGGTTAAGAATATACCGTAATGCACCTTGATTTAAATATATACACATAAAAATTCGGAGAGTTACTGTTACATCACAAATTTAAAAGTGGACTTTACACGAATAAACCATGAATAAACTATTGCGAAATTGCGGTAAACGTCCGATCATTTTTAAGATCAAATAGTTTAAAATAAATAACTAAAAAGTTAATTTAGCGTAAAAGTTTACAATAATGAAATTAGTTCATTCATTAACGAGTGAAAAGACCCCTCTCAGTTCATTTAACGATGCGTTGTTAGTGTGGATTAGGAAACCCCACGTGATCAACAGAGCTCTCTGTGGGGCCGACATTGTCTACAGTGCCATTCTAGCGAAAAATAATTTAAAAACATTCAATTTATCGCAAAACAATGTTGATGTTGTCAGCCATTCAATGCCGTCTGAAATAATTACACTTCTAAATGCACTGATCATTAGAAAGTTTGAAGATTTTAAAAAGGATCAGTTACTACAAGAGGAAGATGGCTCTTACAATCTGCATATTAGTCATCATGCTTATAAAAGTCCCAAAAAGAATGGCATCTATGAACTAATTTTGCATAACACCGGTAAAAAATTTAGTATATAATAATATTTGTAAATTAATAAGTGTTTTTTTATTTTTAAATTGTACATAAATAATTTAATCATAAAAATGGGTTTTTGCTCATTCTTGATTTATTTTATTTCTAATTTTGTTTCAAATAATCAATGTTTCAATTAACAACAATGTAGAATATTTAATAGATTGTTTTAAATTATATTTTTTAAGTTTGGTTATTTATAATATATGTGTAATGTAATTGTAATGTAACATAATCCAAGTGTATTTCTTTGTGCTGAACTATCAAAAAAAGTTTATATAATGTTACAATCATTGTTAATTTTATAATTAAGGAATTTAATATATTTTACTTTGTCAAGTGTCCAAAGAAGCATATTTCTCAACGTTGTGTTCTGATAACACCAAAGATAATGTGGAAGATGGTTTTCAGAATTCAACTTATAAAATTAGTTTATCTGATGGTGAAAGAGTGTAGATATATTTATTTTCAATATTTTTATTCATTTCAATTTTTTATTATACTATGTACAACAAATAGTTTTTAAACAAATATTCTGTTAATTATATTTTATTCTCCCATCTGATAAATATTTCTAGAGGTTTTTTACTGATTTTCATCTGGAATTTTGATAAATATTTTAAAAATTATGTTAAATTAATTAAATAGTTTATCAGTTAATTAATTTTTAATTAAATTTATTAACCATTGTTGAAAACTTACTCAGTCATCCAATCCATCAATCAATTAGTTTTTCATTTAAATTTAATAAATATACTGAACAAATAAGCATACTAATGACGTAATTAATTAACTAATTTTAATCTAAATGTTTTAAAAGAATCAAGCTCCACACAAATGAACAATATCCAGATATCACGAAATCGTCATCATACTCTCTTTCACTGATTTGGCTAAAAAACACTCTATTAGCTAAAATTTTTAATGGAGTCACTGGCTGGGCTAGATACGAGAG